AGAGCATGTGGCCCATAGCCAGGTGAGTGCCTGGAAATACTCCCACACTGTCACGCCTGCACTGTCACAAATGCCTGCACTGTGGAATACTCTGCACTGTCATAGACGTCCTTCCCTGGGAACACAAGAGATCCTCTGCTTTGTATTATCGTAAACTCATCATCTCAGTGTGCTCATCCGGCACCTAGGATGTATTTKTAAGGAGCTAACAGTGTTTAAGCATGGACCATATGTTGGGTGCTGTTCWGTCACATACGATTTCATTTTAGTTTCACAATACCAGAAAGCAAGAAGCAGGTATTACCATCACCCCAGTTTTACAAATAAGGAAACAGAGTCACAAGGTACAAGAATACAAGCTAGAGATGGCAGGTCCAGGATTCAAGGCCAATCTAGCTTTGGAGTTCMTACTCTTAATCACTGTGCTGAAGACACAAGCAAACCTAGGCCCTGTAGCATCAAGAGAACCAGAAACCCAGGAACCCGAGAAACCCTTCCAGGGGGTTTCTGGGGGKACAGCACATGCATTGGTTTTGCTTGTGTGACTTGCAGAGTACCCTAAAGAAAACCAATACCGACTTTGACCCCTAAGCAGGAGACMATTTTCAAGTAATTATGTAACCACATCTGGTTATCAGGCAACTGTAGCASCAATATCCAAGTTTACATCCTGATTCTCTGCTGAAGAGATCTCACTTCTAGGGAGAAGGATTTAACCACTCTGAGGTCCCATTTCCCTATTTCTAGGTAGATCCACACTTGCCAGAATCCAATGAGATCGCAGATTCCATCTCATCAATGAACTCATACAGTTGCCTCTTTGGTCAGATAGTATATAAACACAATGTATGACAACTGATATATTTGAATAAAGCCAAATTTCTATACTTACTAATCTATACTTTAAAAATTTCTATATTTGTCTATACTTTTAAAAAAAGTCCTAATTAATATATTTGTATTCTATTCATGATATTCAAAAAATGATAGTTTATTTCTGTAAGACCTTTCCATTCTTATTTCTGAGCTTCCAAACATTTCTGCTATAATTTGATAACCTTTCTCTGTTCCCCTGGATCCAAATGCCTCTTTCATTTTAGAAGCATAAAGAGTTATCAAGACTCTTTGGACCTAATGGTACTCCTGGATCCAGGAGTAAATGTTTTATTCTAATTCCTGTATTTGCTGTGACATATTTAGCAAGCAATAGTCTCATTTTATTTAGTAGTTAAGATGCTCAAAACGAAACTGTGGTATCTCTGATGGCCAGTGCTGGATACAAGAATGGTGCAAGCTGAGGAAAGCAAGCTGTGTGGTTTTGTTGGTTGGAAAGACACAAGTCTCCAAGTAATTGAGGGGTAGGACAAATCGTGTTCAAACTACTTGTATATTTGGTAGAAATGATGGCTGTGCCCACAAAGAGAAGTGGAGGAGGGGAGGGGAGAGGAGGGGATGGGGAGGTCAAAACCAGATGAAGTAATTTTTACCTCACTCCGTTTTCTGAAGCTCTGATTTCTATGCTGTTGACTATAGTTCTCCCTAAAGAAGYTGGTAGCACATAGAGACAGAGAGGGTGGCAACCAGATGACAAAGGGATGCCTTGCAAACAGGAATATGAAGGTCCACGTGGGAGGTGACCKCGAATATAAAGAGAAGTTTTGAGTTCCCACAGTCTCCATTACTAGATAGAACTCTCTTCCAGCCAAGTGCCCAGCCCAGGTGGTTTTGCTGGTGGKAAACCCATGTGCGGATGGGTGGGCATGGGAAGGAGGGGTGCAGGAATGGACAGAGGCAGGTGTGGACGGACAACCCAGCCAAGAGGAAGTGGTGAAGACTGCCTCCTTGCTGCAGCAGGAGCTCCTCCAGAAGGCCCGTCCACATTTTTTTCTCAAGCCYGTTAATCATTAACGTCCTCCACGATCCTGAGGTTCCTCCCCCCTTCACTAGGGATTGATCTTTTTGCCAAAGCCAAGGACTTCCCCAACCAAAATCCAAGAAAGGGCAGAGCAGCCTGCAGGCTCTAGGGGTGCAGTGCAGAGTGGGGAGTATGTGGTCCAGTGAGGTGACCACGGYTCTCCTGCCTTCTTGACTAGAGCAGACCCTGCAGTTCCTTCTAGGCTCCCATATGCTCCTCATGCAGCCTTGCAGTGGTTGCAGGGTGAGCGGCTGCACTGATCCCTATRCTACCAGTGAGGCTGTCTCACAGCTCCAAGAAGGGTCCTTAGCAAGCTGCTTCTATCAAAAGCCGACCCCTCCCCCATCCTACTAGAAGGCTATGTCTTCTTTACCCACCAAGTGCAGGTGCACAGAGCCTCTGAGCTGCTTCTTTTGACACTCCCCTGGGCTTTCTCCTCAGCATCTCAAGTGCAAGGTGGCTCCCCCAGGTCAGGCCCCCAGGCCACCCAAGCACCACACCCCTCACAGACACTTAAAACTGCCCCAGCACCCTCCTACCCGGTCAAGCCCAACTCTCTGCTGGCTTTGAACAGGGGCTCAGCACTTTGGGCCATTKAGTCTATCTCAGTGACTGCTCCTAATGGTAATCCTGACACCAGAATGTGGGCACACTTCCGTACCCACCAAGTAAGATCCTTGTCCCAGAAAGATCCTGGGGCTGAATCTCCCCTTCTGGATTTTCAGGACCTCAAACATTCTCTCATCCTTTCTTCTGCCCTTGAGATAGTAGTCTCTCTCTCTCTCTCTCTCYYYYCTCTCYYYCYYYCCCTYYCTYTCYCWCTCACGGAASTGCAGGCATCAATTAAACCTCTTCTAGAAAACAGATTTGTGCCAGCTGCAGGAATTCTGGGTAAAAGCCAGACCTAAAGACAGAGGCAGTCTGGGTAAGAAAGATAAGCTCATGACAGCCTGGGGCAGTGCAGGTTCCCACATCCAAATGGCACTCTGAATTCTAGTCCCTCCCAGATTCCTGAACAAAGGGGGTCTGGCCYGCCCTGGCCCAAGCTCTGACTGTACTCCCTCACTGCTGACCTTTCACACAGACAGAGAGATGGACTTTGCTCCATCTGCCGTGAAGCACAGCCACTCCTGACAGACCAAAGCAGTCCCCAGGCACCAGCCTCTGCCCACCCCTATTATGCTGCAAGCTATACTGATAGAAGTGGGCAAGGAGTGTGCCCTCCAGAGGAAGCAACTTTGGGGTAGGGAGCACCCACTGGAGTGCGTGGGTGAGTTATACTCATATACCCCAGCCTAAAGTGGACAGTGGGGCTCTGCAAGTGATCCGTTCTTCTGAGAGTGTCCTCCCAGTGGGCAGGAATGGGGGATGCCCAAGAGGGCTAAGGCTGCAGCTCAGGTCCTTTAGGTTACACTGAGGTGGWCTCACCTCTCAGCAAGAGGCCTCAGTAGCTCCTCAGGGTGGCCATGGCCCTCCCAACTCCACTTCTGGGATGAGGGCAACTGATTTCCTTCATGGAAATTCTGGAGGCCCATTGAGGTTATAGACAGCCGTCAAAATCTGATATGGAGATTGAGCTCCTTGTCCATCCYCCCCAACACACAAATGAGTTTGTCTCTAGTGAGACTGTGTGTACGCACATGCGCACACATGTCTGTATTTAAATCTGTTGAACTGAAGGATAACATTTTGAAAACAACTCAGCACAATGGAAAAACACAGATCGTGGACTCAAGACACATTTAATTCATTTCTTAACAAACACTGAGTAAAATACCAGGCAGGGGGTGCCAGGCAGGGCCCTGGGGCCACAGAGATGGGTCTATCTCATCCCTGAAGGTGCTCCTAGCCAGTAGGGCTCCTGACAGTCAGCAGCTCATCACAGCAAAGGACAAGAGGATGCCTACAGRAATTTGTGGACACTCAGAGGGAACCTACTGAACCCCAGTGAGCCCTTGGTTGATTTTTCTATTCAGTGGTAAAGGAATATTGAGTTAATTTCTATTCAAGCAGATTAATAGGAAAAAAAAAAAGTTACAGATAGGGTAGTTCCACCTTGCTCAGAGTGCTGGTGTTCTGAAAGCCCGGTGGCTGCCCTGTCCTGGCAGTGGCCTCCCAACGCCTCTGTGAGGGAGGGCTGGCCAGGAGCCAATACCTAAAAGAGAAGTACCCCTGACATGTCTCTTCTCTGAAAATGGGCAATTAATTTAATCCAAGACTTAATGAAAGCCTCCAAAAGGGATGGGGCGGATGCACACACTGGCTTCCAGGCTGTCACCATGCATCTCCACCTCTCTCCAGGGACGACAARGCTTTCCAAGCCATCTGTTTTAAACCCTCTTCCCACAGATGTCGGACTGGGCACCAACACCTTTGAGGAGGASGAGCTGCTGCCAAGCCCCACTGCAGTCACGTCTCATTTGAAAGAGTGGGCTGGACTCAGCACTGTTTTCCGCACACTCGGGGTCCACCCTCCTGCCTTCTGCAAACAGCAACAAATGCCCCCAAGTTGCTTAACTCTCACAGACCGCCCACCCACCCCTGGGCCATCCATCCCACATTTCCCCATTCACACCCCGATCTATTCCACGCCCCTCATGATTTTACTTGTTGCATGTTTCGAAAGCATCCTTGCCTTACCACCAACAGTGGCCACCCAGGCGGGGACAGCCTCGTTCCCCACAGTGCCCTTTGCAACCCTATAGCTGAAGCGGAAAAATATGGCTCCACGTTCTCCTGCATCGCTAATCCTTTCCCCTCCAAAGGTATAACTTGAAAGCCAGCTACAGCCGCAAAGAAAAGCAACCTGCTCTGAGCAAATCTAATTTTTTTTTTTTTTGCATGTGACAAAACCGGTTTCTTTTTTAAAAAATCGCGATGTATTCAAGTTCTCCGCCAAAAGCAATGTGGGGTCTATACACACAGTCCCAACCTGAGCATGCAGGGAGGTTAACCTGCGCGCGCGGAGCGGTCCCTCGGCGGGGCCGTGGCTCCCGGAGCTGCCGCGCGGGCGGCAGGTAGCTGCCCGGAGGTGCCAGCCCCACACCCCAGAAAGGCCGACGAGAAGTTGCGGTCGCCTTCTTACCTGGACCGGAGCGGGTTCGGGACTGACAGGGAAAGGGAATCCCGAGAGCTCGAATTCTGGCTGAAACGGGCGGCAGGAGTGCGGGGGCCGAGCWGGAGCGGGCTGGGGGACGGGGACCSGGAGGAGGCARGCTCGKCAGGAGAGGCGCGGAGCAGGGGTGGGAGAAGCCGGAGGCTCCGGGTAGGCGAAGGCGGAGGCGAGGGCTCGGGCGGGAGCRGGGGATTTGCAGGCAGGTTAGACGGCGCCGGGGCTTGGAGAAGGGGCGCCGGGCCGGAGGGGGTGGTGGGCTGGGACAAGGGGCGCGCGGGGGAGTGGCTTGAGGAGGGGGCGCGAGTCTGCGGCTGGGACTTGGGGAGGGCGCAGGGACAGGGGAGGGAGCTTCGTCGCTGGGCTCAGATCCGATGCTTGGAAACCCTCGCTAGTGTCCCCCACCTCTGTCTTACCCGCGCGTTGCCCCTCAGTCTCCCAACCCTGGATCGTGGACGCCCGCCCGCCTCGCGCCTCCGCGCCGCTCAGCGCCAACGGCAACTGCCCGGCCTGGGCGCGCGCCGCACTCACCGCCCATGGTCCCGGCCCGGCCAGGGCTCCGCCGCCGCGCGCCGGGSTCGCCGCCGGCTGCCAGCTCCTCGAAGCGGGAGGGGAGGCTAGGGCGGCGCGCATCGGCCTCGGGGCAGCGCGGGCTGCCGCAGCGCCCCCTGCCGACCCCGCCGCGCCCCAGGCCCGGCCCGCCTTGCGCCGGGCACCCTCGAGCTCCGCCCCGCAGGCAGCGGTGCAGTGCAGGCGGGCAGAATCGTCGGGCGGGCGCAGAGGGATTTGGGAAGAGACGCTGCCTGGGAAAGGCTAAGCAGTCTCCAGGGGCCGGCCGGTCGTCAGMGCTCCAATGCGAAAGCACACGCAGTACCAGCGCGCAGAGACCGCGGCCACGGACTCGCTGGGTCCTGCGCGTCTCGCAACGCCCGATTGACATCAGGGAGTGCTCTGGCGCGCGCCAAGGCCTGGAGACCGACCTGGCCCAGCYCTGGGCCCTGATGTGGGTGCTTTTGAGCTATGTCTGGCCTGTCTCTGCCGATTTCATTGCCGAGGGGGGCGTGAGTGTTTGGGGTCCTCCGGGTGCMGCGCGGACCCCAACTGTCAGGATCCTTACCACCGTGACCCCCGCGCCCCGCCCCAAGCCTATCCACGCTTCTCTTCCGGCGCGGACCACATCCGGCCYGTGTCAACTCTAGACCTCGCTGCTACTCAGTCCCCAACAGTGTTCAGCCACTCCGGAGCGTTGCGCGCTCACGCACAAACACGTATACACAGCTTCTCGGCCCAGCGGGGTCAGCTACTGAAGATCCATCTGAGTAGCAYTTGCCGATGTGTGCAATCTCATTGTTGGACCTCGTCTTTCACTCATCGGTGGGACTCAAATCCACATACCCATATTTCTACTTCTGATTTTCTRCGTAGAACTTTCCACATGTCCCACACCAAATTAAACCTCTTCTCAGCCCCCAGCTCTTTTTAGGTCTTTGGTCTTGCCATCCACTAGCCACGYGGGATGTCTTCCTCATCTGAAGACTTCATGGCTAACCTGCCCCTTTCACCTTATTCCCTGGATGCAACGCTGCCCTCAGCCTTCTTACTGCCTTGAATACTGACATCCTGTCCCAATTTAGGAGCACGAAATCTCACTGCCTTCTTAAGTGTCACTGTAGACTCCTACCTGGCTTTCAAGGGCGGAGGGAGAAGTTGTGATTGTCCTGCACTAATTCCAAGTTCTACCCTTTGGTTCGCTGTCTTCCTCTTTCCTAAGCAGGTTAGTCCGGAGGCTTTCTGCTGTAAATGACAGACAACCCTATTCACACCAGCATAGAGAAACCAACCTTTGTCAGCGATCCCAGCGACTTGGAAGGCTGAGGCARGAGGATCACAAGTTCACCACATCTAAACCCTAACGTCTGGTCTTAGTCCYAGAGTCTCAGGGACTCTCGGTCTCAGTTTTACTTTCATGCGTGAGTGCTACCTCTTCAGGCCCACACCAGACTGCAGCAGATCCAGGCTTTCAGGCTATAATTCCAGCAGATAAACAGCTTCTCTCTGCCCACCTTGGGACTGGCTCTGGTGTGACAGAATTGACCCGCTATCCATGTGGTTCSCCAGCCACTGTGACCCATGATGGGTTGGTTCACTCTTTCTTGGATAATTTCTCACCCTTTCACCCTCCACAGAGAACCATCGGGCACCCCTAGACTGCATATGCACCATCTCTAACCATTTCTCTGCCAAATTTGCCATGCCGCCACCATTTTACCTTGCTACATCCTCCTATGAAGACCCAGATGGGAAGTGGGGCATAGGCCCTCTCTGCTTTCTGCTTCCTCCTCAACCTGTCCAGGATTCCTGTCTGTGCCACCCCCCCCAAGGTTAAGTCTAGGTAACAGATGGTCCTCAGGGATCCATTGGATATGGCATCATACTCTCCAGATTCCTCCTCACCAGTCCGCCCCTCCCATTCTATATTCCCCCAGAATAGAGAGAACTCCTAGGACCCCTTCTCTTTTAGAGTGTTCTCTTTCCCTCTTTGGTTTCTCAGTGGTACCCATAAACCTTACAGTGGGCAGGAGAGGCAGTGAAGGGAAGTGAAGCTTCCCATAGGAGCAGTTATTCAGAGAAGCACCTCAAGACCGTTGTCTCCACTAAATCTCCTTCCTCTGCAGTTGTTGAAGTAGGATGTCACCAAGCAGCTGGGGTCACCTGGCTGGTACCTGGAGAGGCTGTGCCAGACAGCATAACTGACAGAGGAAGGCAGAGTGGAGAGAGGTAGCTTAGCTTCCTGTCATGCTTGATGCTGTTTTTTACAAGCACATGTTCCAGTGAATTCCCCACTTTCCCCCTAAGCAAATTAAAGTCAGATTTTTCTGTACTTTGCAACCAAGAGAGTCCTGACYAGTACAAACGTGTATAGCACAGTGCCAGGCACACTAGGTCCTGCAAAACAATAGCAGTCACCATCATTAGTCATCTGGTAGAGCAGCAAGCTTTGTCCACGGGTGATTGCAGAACAGAACAKAGATGGGGAAATGCAGGGCCACTGGCTCACGACCTTCCTTCRGTCTCCTACTGTCTTCAACCTGTTCCTTTGTCCTTTCTGCACTTGCTTCTTGGCTTCCAGGGAAACCCTTAAAGTCACTGAAAGCTAACCCCACCCATCTTATAACAAACAGTCCCAGCTCACCCAAGGCATGATTAGTCTGCTAGGTGGTACTTGCTGCCACTTTACACAAAAGATCCTTGCCTGGACTGGGAACAGCTCGGATCAGGTGCCCATCTTCAAGTCAGTTCTAACCCACTGAGCAAAAAATGTGCAAATATTTGCACAGCCTCCTTTTTCCTCCTTTGTAGACTGAGGGAACAATGGATTCTGCTCACTCTGCTCACCCTTCCCCCTGCCTTGGGGGAGGATAAAGAATCTAGGAAAGACACTGAGGTGACAGATGACAATTCTAGGGAGCCCTCCAGAAGAGGGATGGAGTGATTTATTCAAACCAGTTTCTAAGTTCCAAAGACCATGCTGCGTGCTGCCCTTACAACAGGATTTCTGCACCTGCCCATGGTACTTCTGTTGTGTCTGGAATACCCAGATTGTAAGTATTATTTAGATATTCCATTTACCAAGGGTTTCATATCTACAATTAAAGKAGGAGTACCCATTTATTGCAGAAACCTGGGAAGATACAAAGTACACAAAAATAAAGATTAAAAATTATCCACAATAATCTTGTGTCAATTCATGTAGTAGAGAACATTAAACTAAGATATAAAAAAAATTGTCCTGTCCACATGTCTACCCTATCCCTGGTCACCCCAATGCTGCAAGAAGATAAGTATCTTGCAAAAGGCTAAAGATCATTTTCAGAAATATTACACTCTTTCTATCATATGTATATTTTTAAAAACCCACAAGCCAGGCCTCCCAGCTCCAGGGTGGTCTGTTCTCTATTATTTATGCATGCATAATTCATTTTACCTACTCCCAGCTGTGATCCATTCTCCCCACCCCCACCAGGCTTATTATACAAGCCCCTTCCCCCTCCTGAGAGCAACAAGGGAGGGCAAACTCATTTCCCCATCTATCTGGGTGAAATTTAATTAGAAAGGCAAATCTGGAAGAACAGAACACAAAAATAACCACATTAAATAAAAATAAAAGATGGCTCTGAACCTGACCTTGAGCCAAAAAATCACAAAAACTGCAGTAATTCGATGAATCATGGGTTTAAATATTCACTTTTGTTCTCTAAAGTCTGAGCCCTACTTAAAGATATTTCTAAGAAAAAAAAGAAGAAGCACTAGATGAACTCACACTAATCACATTTAATAATCATAAAAGGAAAATGAGGGCAGTGGCTGTTTCAACTAAAACATTGTCCGGCACATAGTAGGTATTTTATAAAAACTGGATGAATGGATGGATGGACCGAGAGTCCAACCAGCCAATCAGAAAGGGATGAGAGGAGGTTGGGAACCAGGCAGAGATTTCTGTAGTCTCATGTCCTCTTGGAAGATATCAACTGGAGCTCAGGGTTCATGAGAAAGATGTGACCCAGAGAACCACCCAGATTTCCAGTTAGGACCCCAAGCAGAAAAGATGGAAGCTAGAAAACAGCTTTAAAGTGCTGAAAGTCATTGCTAACTTATGAGACATCTACACCCAGAGAATATAGGGGCAAAGAATAATCAACATGCCCCAGATTAATGTGAGTGAGATAGTAGAAGACTCCCCGTTAGAATCCACRCCTCCTRGACATTTCAGGGCCCCTTGCTCAGYATCTCCAAAGAGAAGCCAAACAAACTTATCTTACAGTCAGTTTGAATTTTTSAGAAATTGCATTCCAAAGCCATTGGGGGTAGCTATTTCTCTCAGCATTTCCAGGCCACTTAATATTCATGGGAACTGGCTGAGTTGGGTTCTGACATCCAGCATAGGCCTCCCTGTCAAGCATGGAACCAGAACATTCCGTTGCTGACTCAGTAGTCCCWCTTGGACCTCCCACAGCACCACACACTCTGTCATGTCCCCAGTYGACTTGGTGTTCCCTGTCTTTTAGACAATAACACCTCTGTCACTTTTTTCTACTCTGCAACCTAGAAACCTAGGAGACATTTAAGACACTGCTCTCT